CTTACCTAAGATCTCTATTTAAACCACTCCTAGAAAAAGGGAGATTTTATGCTAACCTTATTGCAAAATACCAGTATAGTTCCTACTTTCCTCCCTGTTAAGAATATTACCCTTATTTTTCTGAGGAAAAAAAATAATTTGCTCATAAATGCATCTCTAGAAGTATCGTAAATTATCTTTATCTAGGGCTTCCCTAGTGGCGCAGGTGGTTGAGCGCAGCAATGTGAAGCTGTCCGCAGCCTCTGCAGTGCTGCTTCTATCCCCGCCGGCCTCGGAGCAACCCACATGGCGAGCAGACCTCTCCTGTCTCCCTGGCTGCTCCCCTCAGCAGTGTATTTCGTCAGTCTGCCTGTTCGGTTCCCCGCTCTGTCTCTGGTGAATCCTCTCACCCTCCCGCGCATCTGGCCTGTACCCCGGCTCTTGTATTAATAAAAAAAAAAATCTTAAAAAAAAATCTTTATCTATAACTCAACAAAAACAAAAACCTACAACCCTATTTTTTTTAAGATTTATTTATTTATGCATACAGGTGCTGGGGTACAGGCCAGAGATCGGGGGTGGTGAGAGGATCCACCAGAGACAGAGCGGGGAGCAGAACAGGCAGACTGACTAAAATACACTGCTGAGGGGAGCAACGGATGAGACTGGAGAGGTCTGCTGCATCTTGTGGGTTTCTCCCTGGCCTGCCGGGGATCAAACTTGTGCTGTAGAGGCTGTGGGATTGCTTCATCGTGAGGTGCTTAACCCCTTGCACCGCTAGGGAGGGCCTACAACCCTATTTTTGAAATTCACTAAGGACATTTCTCCAAAGGAAAGCTATAAACAGCCAAGAAGCACCTGAAAAGATGGTCAGCCTTACTCATGATCAGGGAAATGCAAATCAAAACCACAATGAGATACAGGTTTCCCCTTCTATCCCAAAATAGAGCATTGTTATGAAAACTTCCATCAGCTGAAAGGACAGAAAGTAGAGAAGCAATTACCACTCATTTCTATGGAAATATTTTTGAGTGTTCCCAGACCCAGAAAATAACCCTCCAAATCATACCAAATAACACGTAAAACCTAAAATCATTACATCTAGTAGAAGTAGCATGCTATGGTAATACACCTGTAAAAAGGAGTTTCTGGAGGGAGCTGGGTTGCCAGGGATGATGCTGTCTCCAGAGTGGCACCTGTGAAAACCCTCGCTGAACAGGCCCATTGCTTTTCACATTTGTTGTAAATGCAGAAATCTTCTTCAGATTTCTCTGAGTTAGCAAAACAGGTAAGAATTGAAGTCTTTTTTAAAAGCAACAGTAGTAGTGTTCAAAATGCCAACTTCTGGGCCTCCCCTGGTGGCGCAGTGGTTAAGCGCTGGGCTGTGAGGCTGCCCGCACCCTCTGCAATGCCGGTTCCATCCCCGGCTGCTGGCGAGTGTCCCACATGGCGTGCAGACCTCTCCTGCCGTGCCCGCTGCTCCCCCCAGCAGTGTGTTTCTTCATCAGTCTGCCTGTTCTGCTCCCCGCTCTGACTCTGGTGAATTCTCTCACTCTCTTGTGCTTCTGACTGTACCCAGTGCTTGCATAAACAAACAAACAAAGAAACAAAGAAATAAATCTTTAAAAAAAGCCAACTTCTGAAAAGGGGGAGTTCCCTTTCTCCCATTAAGATGGCTACAGACGCACACCCGGTAAATAACAAGTGTAGGTGAGAATGTGGAGAAACTAAAAATCTCATGCTCTTTTAGTAGGAATGTTAAATGGTGTAGTCTCAGTGAACTGTATAGCAGTTCCTCAAAAGTTAGAAAACAGAATTATCACATGATCCAGCAGTTTTACTTCCATGTGTGTATCTCAAATAATTGAAAACAGGGTCTCAAAGAGAGATGTGCATACCCAAATTCATAGCAGCATTATTCACAATAGTTAAAAACATACAAACCACCACGAGGGAGCTGACCCACATGGCACAGCAGACTCTCCTGCCTTGCCCACTGCTCCCCTCAGCAGTGTGTTTCAGTCAATCTGCCTCTTCTGCTCCCCACTCTCTCTTGTGACTCCTCTCACTCCCCACACCTCTGGCCTGTACCCCAGTTCTTACATGCATAAATAAATAAATCTTAAAAAAAAACTGTTGACAGATGAATGAACAAAATGTTGCACATACATACAAATGAATATTATGCAGCCTTAAAAAGGAAGGAACTTCTGATAGATGTTACAACATGGATGAACCATGAGGACATTGTGCTAAATGAAATAAGCCAGATAGAAAGACAAATACTGTGTGGTTTCACTTCTATGAGGTACCTAGAGGTGTCAAATTCATAGAGACAGAGAATATAATGTGGTTTGCCATGGGCAAAGGGGATGAGGAACAGAGAGTTAGTGGTTAATGGAGACAGAATTTCAGTTTTGCAAGATGAAAAGTGTTCTGGAGATGGATGGTGGTGATACACTTAAAAATGGCTAAGAGAATAAACTTTGTGTTATGTGTATTTTAGTACAATTAAAATAGTGTTTTAGGTGGCCACTATCTGTATGGTATGAAAAAGACTAATAAAAATAAACACTGCTAAAATCTATGGTGTGCTGATTATGTGTTGGGAGCTACACACAAACCTCATTTAACCCTGAGTCCAATTCCATAAGATGGCTTTATTGTTTAGACGTGTAAACCAAGGTTCAAATGGTAAATGCCATTTTGATTATCACATAGATATTCAGTAGTTGAGGGCTGGAACCTAGAATCATGTGGCTCCAAGGTTCACACATCCGACCCCATGTTGCCTCATATAGGTTCCATTCAAAAAGCCTAAAGTCAACATGATTCCTCCTTATTTTCTACAAATGAGGAAACTGAGGCGCAAAGAAGTCCAGTGATGACACTATAGAAAGAGAAAGCACCAAGAAGTAAAGGCAGATTTTTTGAGTCTAAAATCTTACCCTTGATCAATTTCATCACATTCAATTGATTTTATTTATTTTAAACCAAGGGGACATTTTGTCCAATGAATTCCTTCTCAATGGGAGCATTTTCCCATTTGAGGATATAGAAGATAACATGGTTTCAACTCTTAATATGTGCAAGGCACTGTTCTAAGAACTCTCCATGGATTAACTAACTTAATCCTTACAACTCTCTTGAGAGGTGGATTCCATTTTAGAGAAGGGGACAAGGATGCACCAAGGAATGAAGTAAATTTGCCCTAGGACACAAAGCTAGTGGTTGGCAGGGTGAGGATTCCAATCCAAACAGGTGGGCTCCAGAGAATTCCTGCCCTGTGTCCACTTGGCCACTCCATATAATCAGTATTGAACCTTGAGGACTAGGTGCAAAGTCTGTACTGGAGGACTTCTTTTCAATGAAATAGAGATGGAATGGAATGATACTCCAGAAGGCAATACCTTTTATGAAATGGACAATTCTACCTGTGGTTTATTTAGTTGGATTTGTTCTCTCAGACAGTGCAACTGAACTTATTGGTATTTCTTTTAAAACGTTGTTAAATGCTCAGGCTGCTGTGCTCACTGGCTCTGGAAGCCATTGAGTCAGTCATGGTAAAAGTTAAGTGTTTCTAAAAGATGCTACTCTAAATATTTCAGGGTGGGCTTGGGATTCTCCATAGAACTGAGCACTTTCTAAGGCTGTGGCTTCCCCTGGGCTGCAATCAACATGAAAGGTGGTGTGAAGATCACTGTTCACCAAGCCAGAGTCTGCACTGCTGTAGGGGCAGGAATGGACACAATGCAGGTTTTCTGATCCAGCAGACCAGGTAAAGGAGGAGTCCTGGAGCCCTCAGTGGCTTTTGCAGGTTTTTATTGGGGTTTACCTGTTAAACAGCAGGCAGGGGTGCTGGGGGGCCGGGAGACTGGCAGTCTTCCCAGCCCCTAGCAAATCCTCACCCTATCTGGGCTCTCCGGCGATTTCTGCTTCTGCTTCTTTGCTTCTGCTTCTTTGCTTCTCTCTCGTCTTCTCTTTGGCTTCTCTTTTGGCTGCTGCTGGCGTCCCTGAGATGCCACCCTTAAAAGCCCAGTCTCAGCCCAGGTGAATCCCATCTACCTATGCCCACACCCTATTCCAGGTACCTGCCATCAGGCATGCATTCAGGACCGCAGGGTTCTGTCATCCATCTTGATGGCAGGAGGGCAGAAAAGCCTGACATTTTTCCTTACCCTACAACTGCTTACCTCCAAGAGTTTGTGTAAAGAACCCCAATGGAAGGAGGTGGTTGTGCCTGACCAGGGGATGGGCTAACATCTGCCCTCAGTGTCTATCATGTCCGGGGGAGACCCTGGGGCTTGGTGCATTTGATTCCCTAGATAAACTTCAAGGCATGCTACAGTGGGGGACCAGTTGCTCTAGGTGAAAGGAAAGAGCTGCAAGAACCTATATGCAGTTGCCTGGGTGTTCAACATTCCACTTTTAGGGTAACCAAATCCTGTCTATGGTGGAGGATGAATGGAGAATTCTGGAGGTCTCAATTGCCTCTAGGGTTTCACTCTCTCCCACTCTGCTTTAACCTTCAGCACACAGAAGCTTCACCTGGAGTAAACAATTTGTTTGCACTTTGAGTTGTATCGTGTATGTGTATGTACACGTGTGCTTAAGTATGTGTGGGTATCCACGTGCCTAGGAGGAAGCGTGGGCTCAGGTTGTGCTGTTTTATCTTTTCATCCTACTCTGTTTAGATAAATCTACTTAGGCCTGCTTAAAAGGCTCCAGAGAAGACCCAACAAATAGAAATTAACCTATAATAATCTGAATTCCTCCTTGGTGTGGTTACTGATCTGCAACCACCAGAGAATTATGGGAGGGATGAGAGCCTGAGCCACAAGGCCTGTGTGGAAATCCCATGGTGTCACTCACTAGCTGGGCAGCTGAACCAATTATTGAACATCTGTTAAATCAGTATTCATTTAAGATAGGGTGGCCTCCTGGCATTGCTGGGGGCATTAAAATAAAGGAGAATACAACAAAGGTGCTAGAATAGTGCCTGTTGGATAAATCTTACCTCAGGAACTTTAATGTCTCATTTTTGTTCTCCTCTCTGCAAGCTGCCTGATACTTCCAGTAAACTTTTTCCTAATTCTTCCTCTAGTCCTTTCTTGCATCTTGTGTATCTTCTAAAGTTCATGATAGAACCATGATGAAATGAAAAGGCCTGGAAGAGATTGAGGGGGTAAAATCAGAACTCTGGGCTTAAGTGGGAAGATGTCCAGGAAAACCTACATTTGCATTTCAAATCAGGCATTGCTCTTATTGCCAGATTTTTGCCATGGAAGGAAGTCTGCTCCAAATAGCAACTGAGAGTAGAAGCTCTAGGATCCAAGACTCCCTGGGTCAGAATCCTTTCTCTGCTGAGCTCTAGCACAGCACAAAAGTCGACAGAACCTCAGTTTCCTTTTTTCCAAAGTGTAAGTGGTGATACTGACATTACTGGGTTATGATGAAGCTTCAAGTCATTGGTGCTGGTGTGTGAGTACGTCTAGTAGCAGCCCATTGGCAGGAAGTCATTATCACTGTGTGTTTCCAGTCTACCAAAGCAGGAGGCAGGCCAGGAAGAGAAGTTCAAGTGGAGACAGTTAAGTCCTTATGAGACCCATGGAAATCCTATTTCAGCTTTCTCTTTAGAACTTCAGGCCCTTGAACTTTCCTTCTGAGCCTATATGTCCTTGCTGTTATAGTGAGAGCCAGCCAAGAAATTCTGCTTCCTGATGAAGAAACCACCCTTACTCTAGAAGCCAGCTCAGAAAGAGAGAAACATAAGGCCTAGTTCACCAGGTCATCACTCTCTGAGGATAAGTACAGCCGCTGGGAGGGCCCACGAGCAGAGGAAGGGGACTGGAATGGGAACGGCTCAACAGGGCGAGACGGTGGTGTGGCCCCCAGACCCTGAACGGGCAGGCTGGCTTCAGTCTAATTGCAGCACATTCCTGAGATCTGGCGTCATTCACGAGGCCATGATGCCAGTGCTGTGGCTTGATGGGTGGAGAGGATGAGAGTATCCATGGAAGACGTGTGCAAACACCCGCTGACCCCTGCAACTTATGAGCGTATTCAAAGTGGAGCCAGACGAAATGAAACCAAGGTCTCTGTCCTGCATTTGAAAGCCAGTGAAAATAGGAACTCAGTGTCTCTCTAAATTCACAGAGTATATTACCTTAGTCATAAAATTGGGGACTTTCAAATCTAATTTGTTCAGCGCTAGTGCTGTTGAAGGCTGGGCAGGCTTCCAAAGGAAATCACCTCCACGCAAACAGAGATTAGCAGCTCTCCACTGGAGACATATGGGAATGATTCCCTGTAATCTCCAGTAATTGTGGCTGCATTACATTCAAATCCTGTTTTCAATTTTCTTAAACTTCTAGACTGATTGTGTTATTAAATCATGCTGGCTGATGTGTTTAATAAGGACCTATTAAATGTTTATAAAATTAGGGAAATAAATATGGGCTTTTAGTCCGATTGCCCAATGGATCTGGTAACCTATTGTTAAAATAACAGCCCTGCTGTTAAAACTGGGTCTCCTGGCTACATCCGCGGGAACTCAGTTTAAAACACCATCCCAACCTTTTTGGAGAACTGTTTCTCTCAACACTGCATATGCTGAAGAATTTAGCTCCCCCGCCCCCCACTCCACAAAGAAAGCAACACATTCAAGGAAGCCTCACTAACTGTGAGTTGGAGTTTCTTGGCTGACAAGATATGTCACCTCTGCTTCCAGTAAGTAGTGATAACACCATTTCCCTGAGAAGACCCAGAGAGACCAGTCTCCTTGTTGTTGTGGAAGCCTCCACCTGGCTCCATTTCAAGCTGGAAATTGCCCTGAATTTCTCCAAGGTCTTCCTTAGAAAGATACCCTCAGCCTTTAGAGGTGTAAGTAAAATGTGGTGAGGATCTGCACAGCTGGAGAGAGAACAATTCACACACTTTCTTCAAGCAGAGGGACGTCCTTAGGAATTATTTCTCTGTTGTAGCTTGAATGGTGGACAAGTATAGTCCTCTGTGACTAGCTCACAAGCCTATGTCTCCTTGGCATTTTAAAGCAAAGGATAGAAGATCCAGGCTTGAATCTCATCTTGAAACAACAGGCTCTTGGTGTCCAGGGGAGAGCACTGTGCACCCAGTTCCACGCTAAGTCTCCTGGGAAAGGTGTCTCTGTTTCTCTGGAATGGCATTGGCAACAGAATCTACCTCCAAAGGTTGTTGAAAGGATTAATTAACATGGTAAAAGGACTCAACGTGGTTGCTAAATAAACAAGAAGTGAAGAAGTAGAGGTCCTCATCCAAATCTATGATCTCTTTTAGAGTGCTGAAAAGAATGAAGATAACCTTTTAAAAGTAAACATGAACACATGAATGACTGTCCCTGCGTGCCCCTGAGTGTGGCATAAACACAGCACTGCAGGATTCTCATCCAAAGCAATTCCCTAACACAGACAAAACCCGAACCTCAGTCCTTCCTGGCAAAACACTCTGGGCCACCTGGCTTTAAACCACAATTTCCTACACCCTCGACCACAGCTCAAGTAATTCTGTTATCTTCAGGGCAAATGCAAACCCCACTTTCTAGGAGGAATTAACCTTTGAGTTTCCCCTGAGGAAGGTGAGAGCAATTAAGCAATCTTTCTGGCACTTAAAAAAAACCCACATCATTATCTTGGTATAAACGCACCCCCTTAAAATATTTCTAACCAGTGTGTACCAGGTCCCCTGCTCACTCACCCACTGCTGCACCCCTGGCATATTGTAAAGTGCTGTGGAGCTGGCCTGGTTCACATTAGGGCTCTGCAAGGTTGGAGGAGATTTGGCTATAAGGTTAATATTTGGCAGAACCTTGTAAATGACCTGGTTGTTATTTTATATTGCCTACAGTTTCCAAATCACCACTGCTTGCCAGAAAGGCCCCCAGTGTGGCCAGACAGTTGCACACAGCAGTGCCACAGCCTGTTCCGTGGAGAGACCCACTCACTCTGTATGTGTGTATTTTTGATGAGTGTGTGTGTGTATTTTCCATGAATGTGTGCACCTTCCATTAGTACGCACAACCTAAATACAGCAGAAATCCAGTCTGGCAATTATTTTTACGAACTTTTTTTTTACTTGCCCTCGGGGGACCTTCTCCCAGTTTAATTGTCTAAGGTGATTGTTTCCTTGTGGGATTTTATTTCAAAATGGTCCTGTTAAAATTTCTTTCTGCGGGGGAAGGAAAGAGAGGATGGAATTTTTCTTTTTTAAATCTCCTTAAACACACAAACCCACAATCACATAAAAATTCACCAAACTCTGTATCCTGAAATTAATAGAGGTGTTTCATGATGCATAGATTTTTAAATTATTTGTCTAAAGATATGTTTAGGATTGATTATATTAAAGGTGTATAAATCTTGGTCCCGTCCCCCCACCCCTTTGCCTTGGAAATGAATTCAAGCAAACCCACTGAATTTTAAGTTAAGACAAACAGGGGGAGAGATCATTTGTCTCCAGTTATACATGAAATAGCTTATAATAGTGGATGCTGAGTTCATGAAGTATATGTTCGACCCCCTTTGATATAAATTCCATCATCAGCTCACAAAGAAATTGTATTTATGCATAAGACAGTGCTCTCTAACACGAACCCCTATAAATTATGAGAACAGAAAATCCAAATTTATAAGATGCCATTTCTGGATTTATTTTTAATGCTCTCTCCTGCATATTACCAAACAAATGCCACATTAGCAGAGCATGAAAGGCTTTTTACTGGCATAAGCTACGACCATGAAATTCACAGCACAGGCTGGGCTAGTGAGTATATGTGTGTGTGTGGAGGCGGGGTGAGGTGCAAATGAAGAAGCAAAGGGAAAGCACGGGAGTGGCTAGAGCTTAGGAGTGCTTGGGAGGTCCAGGGGCCAGTTGTTTCCTTGAATGTAGACAAGAAAGTCATTTTCCTTTGAAGGGAGGCATAGCCCATGATCCATTCATAACATTAATTATGGGTGATTATTTTTATTTCCTGAGAATATGAGTTTTTACTTACAAGCTCCACCCAGTAGGATCAGACCCACTTTTCCTCAGCATCTTTCACTAATTCATTCAATTATTTATGCATTCATTCATTCATTCATCCAGTCATCAATTATTTATTTCCTGTTTAATATGTGTAAATCATTCATTTAAGGAACTAAGGGCACAGATTCTAAGAAGAGTATACAGGCTCCTAGTTAGAAAGTAAGCTCTGGGCCAGTCTGCCAAAATATGCATGAAGACATAATATTAATAACAATGCCCAACATTTATTGAATACTTATTTGATGCCAGGCACTATTCTATGTTTTTATATGTGTTAACTCATGTAATCTCCTTGCATCTCTATGAAATTAGATACACTTATTTACAATTATTACTTATAATCATTTACAATTAGATACAACTATTTTTAAACTGAAGTTAAAAGTAATTTCTTAACTACTAGTTAGGAATAGAGTTAGCATTTGACCCAAGGTTTCAAGGTCAACATTTTGATCACTATGTTGAAAGGAATTGTTGCTCCTAAATCAACCAATCATCCATCTCCCAGTTCTGCCTTTCATTGATGGTGTGATCTTGAATCAATTAATTAACCAGGCATGCCTCAGTTTTTTTCACTTAAATGGGAATAATAATAGTACCTGCTTCCTCTAGTGAAGGTGAAGGTTAAAGGAAAGTTGTATGCATGTCACATGCAGAGCAGAGCTGGGGATGGATGAGCGCCCTGTGAGTTCTTCATATTTATCATCATAACCATCATTTGGTGTGCGTGTGTCTCTCTCTCACTACATACAATCAATGATGAAGCCACCAGGATTTAATTCTCTGACACAATCTGATTGAGGAAGGTCCAGCTTCAACACAGTTATCAACCAGCAGAGATCAACCAGAAGAAGGTTTGGGGGCACAAATGTCCCATTGATTGGTCTGACCCAAACCACCAATCTAGTAAAAATTGTTTCCATCATTCTGGATTTCAAGGTAAGTTTGGGGGTTGGAGTGGATGTGATTTAGTGGTGCTCTGAGGCTTCAGTCTATAACCCAAGTCCCCCCATGTAGCACAACCCCTCCTGCCCCCTACTTTTCACTCTCACTTCAGGGAAGACTTGAGGCAGTGCCTCTAAGCACTTAAGAATATTGATTGCTTTTCTTTTTTCCAAAAGTACCAAGGCCACAAGGATAGGATGCTAAAATATCAAAATGCACTTAGACGGGTCTCCCCGGTGGCGCAGCAGGTTGAGCACTGCTCTGTGAAGCTGTTCATGGCCGCAGCGCTGGGTCGATTCCCGGTCAGCCAGGGAGAGTTCCACATGGCATGACAGACCTCTCCTGTCTTGCCCCCTGCTCCCCTCAGCAGTGTACTTCAGTCCATCTGCCTGTTCGGCTCCCCACTCTGTCTCTAGTGAATTCTCTCACCCTCCCGCACCTCTGGACTGTACCCCAGTGCTTGTATAAATAAATAAATCCTTAAAAAATGCACTAGACTACTGAAATGGTAATTGCCAGTAAGGGTTTCCTTCTGTTCAAGGTGCAGGCACCAACCTCCCACCAGCTCTGTCTTCAGAGATCAACTGTTATTATTTCATGCTTATTTTGTGTCTTAGGCAAAGTTCTTGGAGGCAAGCAAGAGAAACCAAATTGGGCTGACTTATGCACAAAAAGAATTCATCCGGAGAATATAGGGTTAAAAAGCCAGTGGCAACCAAGCTAAGAAACCTGGAGGATCATCCTGACCTGCCATAAAGCAGTATGAGCAGGATAGAGCTTCTGCTAGGACCAATGTTCCAGATCAGTACATGTATGTGTGAACCACGCAGTAGTGGGACCATCTCTGCTTTCCCGAACACCTTTGCTTTCCTGAACACTGCTTTTGGCTGAGTCCACCATCATCCCCATAGGTCCAGAATCTTTGCAGCTCTATCTCCTGCATACAAAACCAGTAATAGCTACATGTGGCTCATGCCCTCCTTATCAGGGGAGTCTTGGTAGAAGTAAGTTTCAACTCAGCATGCCTGCCAAACTTTAAGGTGGGAATTCCAAAATAATGGAATAATGGTGGGGAAGAGTGGATTTCAGGTACAACCAGCCCAAGATAATGACAGAAGGTCACTACACCTTCCCAGCTAGACAATGATTATCTGGAATGACTGTGTCTGCCCCCACTCAGGAACATTTACAATGCCTAGGGACATTTTTGGCTGTCATGCTGGGAGAGGCATGGCCATTGTCTAATGGATAGAGAGCAGGTGTGCTGCTAAATATCCTACCATGCACAGGACAATAGAGGATTGAATAGTCCAAGATGTCAGTAGAACCAAGATGCAGGGACTTTGTGTTGGACTGAAGACTCCAGGACCTGTTCTGATTTTTCTTAAAGTTAGGCCATGACCACCATTGACAGAAAGGTTCTAAAATAAATAAACAGAACAAAGTGTGTGTTAATAGATGTCCTTGACTGTCCACTTGTTTTAATAGCAAAAGGACCATTTTTTTTTCTGTGTTTCTGTGTCTGGCTTCGTCCTGGTCACCACAGCTTCTAATAAAGACTATCCATGAAATAGAAACTTAGTCAGTGAATAAACTCAGGGTAAAATCCAGAGTCTAATGATACCTGCAAAGCCCTAAGTGATCTGCTCTTCCCTTTACTCTTCAACCTCTTCTCTCAATACTCTTCCCCATTCTCTGCTCTAACCACAGTGGCTTCCTTGTCATTCTTTTAACAGGTAGGTCATACATCTGTTCCCTCTGCCTGGAATGTTACCTGTCCTCCTCAGTCCCCAAATAGCTGTTTGGCTCATTCTTTCACCTCCTGTAGGTCTTTGCTAACATTATTCCTTTGCAATCATACTTATGTTGAGCTCACATGTTCCCTCTCTCCATACTCCACCCCTGCTGCTGCCCTCAGTATTCTTGAAAACTTGATAAATCTCCTTGTTTTTAAACAATTTCATATATAATTTAATCTATGTATATCTAACAGGCAATTTATTTTCAGGCAATATGACTGATATACAAAGAACTGCATGTAATTGATGTGTACAATTTGATGAGTTTGGCAGTTGCAAATTCTTGTGACACCATCACTAGAATTAAACCAATGCAATAGACAAATACATCTTCTGCAAAGTTTTTTTTTCTTTTATTTAATAAATTTTATTTTTATATTCCCCATAGAATTGCAACCCCTTTATTTTGACCCCAATCTCTCCCCTCCCTGCCCCCTGGTCTCTGGTTCATAGTTTTTTGCTGATTTTGATTTTCACTTTCTTATAGTTATTCATTTTCCTGGTCCCTTATTTAAGTTTTCTAGATTCCTGCTATGAGTGAGACCATCTGGTATTTTTCTTTTTCTTTCTGGCTTATTTCACTGAGCATGATCCCTTCCAGCACCATCCATGTTGCTGCAAATTGCATGTGTTTATCTTTTTTGAATGCTGAGTAATATTCCATGGTGTATATATACCACATCTTCTTGATCCAGTCATCTATTTTTGGGCATTTGGGTTGTTTCCAAAGCTTAGCTATTGTAAACAGTGCTGCTATAAACATAGGGGTGCAGGTGTTCTTTGGAATTGATGTTTCTGTGTCCTTTGGGTAAATACCTAGGAGTGGAATTGCTGGATCATATGGAAGCTCTATGTTTAGTAGGTCCAGAAATCTCCACACAGTTTCTGCAAAGTTTTCTTGTGTACCTTTGGGTTTTGTTTGTATGTTTTGTTGTTTTTCATTCATCTTTTTTTTTTTTCTGGTAGAAACACATAGTATGAGATGTACTCTTAACAAATTTGGAAGTGCATGGTGTATTGTTATTTGTGGCACAATGTTGTACATCAGTTCTCTAGAACTTATTTATGTAGCCTCACTGAAAGCTTATATTCACTGGACATCTATATGCTTTTATTCTTCCAGCATGGAGAACTTTCTAGCATACTATGGAATTTGCTACTATGTTATGCTTATTGTTTATTATCTGTCTTCCTCCACTTGCATGTTTATCTTGTTCATAATGTATACAAAGTGCCTGAAATTGTCTTCCCCAGAGTAGGTGCTCAATAAATGTTGGCTGAATGAACAACAACAACAACAAAAAAAAAATGAAATCAACTCTGAGACACAGCACAAACTGAAAATACAAACAGTGCAAAGGCTTTATAAATTCATAGGATGATGACTCCATGATGGTGTAGCAGATGCGCAGGACTTCCGTGTGTTTCGCAGTGTTTGGGGTGGATGCAGCCTCCTGAGGCTTCCTATGTATCAGACAGAGACCCCAGGGGTTCCAAAAACAGCCTTTACTCCTCACAAGTCTATGAGGAAAATGTTAGTGCCCAGATTTTACAAACGAGGAAACTGGGGACCAGGGAGTTAATGCAGCTTTCCCAAGGGCAAAAGAGCTGGGAAGTAACAAAACTGGGATAACAATCTGGATTTTTCTCACTCCAGGGCTGGTGACCTTAACCTGACCCTAACCCAACCCTAACCCAATCAGGCACTGAGCCTGGCCTGGTGGGGAGTTTGGGTGGTGCTCTCTGGAGCTTGTGCCACATGATGGAGGGAAGGAGTTCCAGATTAACAGGCAAAGATGGAAGCAAAGTCATAGTATCACTGCTCAAGTCATAGTATCACTTTCCCAAACCATCATTCAATTTTCTGGTAGCCTCATAATAACATAATGAAGTATTGTGTATATGTAGTGACTTCATGTTAACTAGAAGATTAGCAGTCTCTAAATCCCAATGCATTGATTAGACCCAATTTGTTTCTATTTTACCAGCAGAGAAACAAATGATGGAATGATATAGTCACTTGTCCCTGTATGTCCAAGAATGGACTTCAGTGATCCTTCTATTATTCTGCTATTCTACCTCTAGGTTCAACATTAAGTAAAGAGCTATTCCCATAAACCAAAGCTATATACAGGTGTGTGAGTATGTGCATACATCTGTCCACAATATGTAAATACTGGTGTGTCTGTACACAGAATACCTATATCCACGTGCTGTGTGTCTGTGTGTACAGGCACATGGGGGTGTGTGTATAAGTGTATCTATATGTACAAATCCCAGATGCTAACCTCAAGAGTAGTGTCTGTTTATCACCTGGCCTTTAAACTTCTTGACTACTCCAGACACGCTGGATTTCAGGAGACAAGGGGGTGCTGGGAAACATCCCAAAGGTGCTCCAGAGAGCACCACCCAAACTCCCCACCAGGCCAGGCTCAGTGCCTAATTGGGTTAGGGTTGAGTTAGGGTTGGGTTAGGGTCACCAGCCCTGGAGTGAGAAAAACCCAGATTGCTATGCCAGTTTTGTTACTTCCCAGCTCTTTTGCCCTTGGGAAAGCTACATTAACTCCCTGGTCCCCAGCACCCTTTGGGTGTTGAGATATCTAGTTTCCAGACATGACCTTTGCAAAAGAGGAGGCCAGTCATGATTCCAAAATTAGATTGATCATCTGATGCTCAGAGCTTCTGGGTCTGCCTCTTTGTTCTCCTCCCACAATTGGTTTGTTTCTTGGCCATTTTGCTGGTTTTTCCATTCTCTTCCTTGACCAGTCAATTCTCATTCATCCTCACATGCTGGCTTGAATGCCCTAACTCTTGAGGCCTCTTCTCTCTCACAGAGCCCTGTGGCTTCCTCTAATTTCACACAGCAGTAGGCCCAGGTATCAACTCTGAAACATGGTGGGTGTGCCAGGGCTCTGTGTTGATGCAGTGGCAGTAGCATAGGATGGATTTGTGAGCAGTAATACCAGACAAAGATCAGGGAACCAGCCACCACATTCTCTCCATAGCAACATTTTATGGTAAAGCAGAGTCAGGGCACGTTGGCTGAACAGGTAAGCTTTTTCAGAAGTTGTGACATAAATATCAGCCTACTAGTATTTCTTTATTTGATGGCAGCCTGGTTTTCCCCCAAACCTGGGCTATCTAGGATGTGGCCAAAAACTATGGGTTTTACTTAAAGAACTAAGAATACTTAATCCAAATGAACTGAGTGAAATGTCCCTTTGCATGGCTTCTTGGGAAGAGCCATTGGAAAGCCCCTTTAGTTAGTCTCACAGAAAACTCCATTACATGACCTCATGATTCTTTTAATCAAAGTGTTCTACCTGGCTTGGTCACTATCTTCCTTCATCACACTTAATGCCAAATGACATTTGTTCCATGTCAAGATCTGTGCTTTAAGGATGAAGACCAATCGCCACAGAAGCTCTAATCCAAAGAAGATCACGTTCTTGTCAAGCAGCCTCCCCGGGTACATCTACAGCCTCTCCTGGCACCATTTTGAGAGTGGGAGTGTTTATGTGGTCTGTTTTCTAAAACAGTCAAGATAATTTACATAGTCACAACTCAAAATTTCTTAAAGTAGGATGATTAAAATAATCTCCTCGTTTACATAGTTTTCTTAGAGTGTTTACATTTCTTGATATTATTCATGATATTCTGTAATATCAGAAAGACAGAGATTCTGGCTCTCTCAGGACTATTGTATCTCCAAGACCAAGCTCAGGGTATCAAGGCAATACAAGATAGTGCCAGCACCGACTCTATTTACTCTGGGCTGTTCTGGAGTGACTTTGAATAAAATTCCCCCTTTTCTTGAGGAGAGCCTATACCAATGAACATTTGTGACTGTATCACAAGTGAAATAATGGATAACCAAATGAGTCATGCTTTTCTTTTCCATCTAAGCTGTGTGATGAGCTAATGTGTTGGTTTTCAACAAAACAAAACAAAATCCTATTTGTAGAGTTGGCTGATTTCTGTGAGGAAAATACTCCATGGTGGTTGATTCTAAGCCTCTAATGAAACATCACTGAGTGTGGGCTGGGAAAAGGAGTGTGAGTCAGTACAACTGACCCCACCCTGTTGGTCCTTGTAGTCTTCTGTGACAATGTATGAGACACCAAATTACAAGTGGGCCTGTGTTTGTTCCAAGGATGAGAGTAAACAAAACTGAATAACTGATACAATGTGGGAACCAGTTAATCAGAATCACTGCAGACATGAGCTGTGAATGATCAGCGCAGTCCCCTAGATCATCGTGGCCCTCTCTCTATGGGGATGGAAACCCCCGCTTTGACTTTACCTGCCCTGTGCACTCACTTGCTAAATTAACTGACTTAGTTTGTCAAAGGCAGAGCAAGGACAATAGCAGTATGAGTTCCAGGTCCTGTAGCAATCTTTTGGTGTTTCCTGGAATTTTGAACAGGAGCAAACCAGTCCTCCCCTGTGAGTGGTGTACTCTCCAAAGCGGTGAGTGGATCACAGAGCATCACAGATCCATGCTGGGAACTCCTGCTGGCCTGGCCTCCTGGAGAGCAGTCCACAGTTTTTCTGTTACCTTGATGTGGAGTTGAACTGTAGAGGAGTTAGACAACATAAGCTAAAAGTATTCTCAACCTCCC